CAATTTCGGTCCAAGATAAGTGGAAAAAGTTAACAAAATTGCTCAAATATGGAAACTTGCATCTAAATTCCAGCAATGGTGTAAACCAAAAAAATACAATTTTTGTTTTGCTTTGGAAAAAAGAAAGGCTTCAATTGCACTAAAGTAGAAATCAACATACAGGAACTATAATTTGGGGCACTACACAAATCAGAGTTTTAAATTGGAAGATGGGAACTATATTAGTTGAAATAACAGGGTGAGGTGTTGAATGTATAGCCAACAGAAAATACAATAGCTTTTTTTCAGAGTTTCAATAGTCTGTGTAAATTTGTTAATAAATGACTTAACAATAAAATACTTGGCCAAAATATAAGAAAAAGAAAGTTGTTAATTGATCATTTGTTTTATTAACCAAACACATTAATTATGTATACCCAGTAATCATCTAAAGAGCATTTTAGTAAAATGTAATCAAGATATCTGCTCTTACAGCCAACCAAACAGATTAATTAGTAATACAAGTAACACCCCAAGGGCATTCTAGTAAAAGGGAGTTTCAGGACATCTGTTATTACTGTCAACTAAACACATTAATTATTAATACATCTCAATTGAACCAAGCACAATAATAATTTAAACCCAGTAATCTACAATGTAATCTTTCTTTCCGGTAATCTTATTATTAAGATAAAAAAAAAACATTATATGATCCAAACGCCTTTTAGGATGTATTTTCGAAAAACCCCATGGTCAACCCACATGCTTTAATTTGTGCATATATGTGATATGTATGGAATGTTTCTTAAACATGGCATGTTAAAATTAACTAAAGTTAAACCTAAATCTCCCCAATTAAAATTATTAAATCCAAGTCTCTCATTATGAGATAACTAAATTCTTTAATATAAATTTTAATAGCCCAAGATTTCTATTATGTGAGGGATATGATCTTTATATCATAGAATTAAGTTGATCTTGTTCTCGGATGGATATTTTCATCCTAAACAAGATTTCTATTATTTGAGGACATGATCAAAATGTCATATTAAGAAAGCATAATGGTTTAGATTTAACTAGCCTAGGGTACCAAGATTTCTATTATGTAAGGTATCCGAAGCTAGGATGAGGAATATGGATCAAATCTTATATAGTGATATAAAAGGAAAAATAGTTTCGTACTTATTAAACTCAATTGACCAAGATTTCTATTATGTGAGATTAATTGAATTTAATAAGAAATTGATTCCCTACTAAGAAATTTAATCCAACGAAAATTTTCGCGTCCTATCTAAGGGAGTGTAGGACTCGAATAAAATAGTGGGAGCTAATTTGATTATACAATAAAAGGTTTCAAAGGATTAAAAGACACTAATAAAATTATTTTTCTTTGCAGTTTCATCATAAAATTGTGGTATCTAATAAAAAATGGCCAACAATGTTCTCCTAAGGATAATGGACAATAACATGTTAACCAGACCCAACCTTAAGGATTGGCTAAGAAATCTCATAGTCATTTTAGATTTCAAAAGGATAGATTATGTCTTAGAAGCACCTCTTCCACTCGATATTGGAACCAATGCTCCTCAAGCTGAGCATGATATTTTTGAAAAATGGAAAGAGGATAGTAGGAGGGCTAGAAACTACATGCTAGCTTCAATGAATAGAGAACTCAAAACTAAGCACAAAAAGGTTTCCAATGCTTATGATATCCTCACAGCTCTATAAGCATTGTACAAAGAAAATCCAAGAGTGGTTAGCTGCATCCCTTTTCAACATGAAGTTGGGGGAAGGGGTACCTCCAGATGATCATACAATTAAGATGATCAATGGATTAAGTCGGCTGGATGGGTATGGAGTGGTCGTTCCAGACCGCCTCAAAGTAAATTTGATTCTACAATCCCTTCCTCCAAGTTATAAACCATTTGTAACTAACTACATTATGAATAGGATTGAGTGAAGTCTCTCTGAGTTGCTTAATGAGCTTCAAGAATTTCATAAGCAGAATGTGAAAAGGAAAGGACATGAGGATGTCTTTGCCGCCTCCGTTAGCAGGGCCAATAAAAGGCCCAAAAAGCAACAAAAGAAAAGTCCAAAAGTTGGACCCAAAAATAAGAGCTTCAAGAAGCCAAAGGCAAAGGTAGAGAAGGCCAATGTAAAAGGAAAATGTTTCCACTGTGGGGAAGATGGACACTAAAAGAGGAATTGTCCTTAGTACCTGAACAATCTGAGAAAAGGCAAAGGAAAAGTTGGTACGAACCAATGTCTTATGATTGAATCTGAATTAAGTGTTAATTTAGATAGTCATTCCTAGATATTAGATTCAACAACAACATATCATGTTTGTATGTCTTTGTAGGTACTTTAGAATAATTCTCAGGTGACAAAGGGCGATCATTTTTAAGGATGGCAAATGGGGCACGAGTTGCAGTCGAGGCCATGGGAACTTGCCCAATAAGACTACCTTCAAGATATGTTTTGAATTTGTTTAAAGTATTGTACTTTGAGAAAGTCACTAGAAACATCATTTCTATTTCTGCTTTGTGTAAAGCGGATTACCATGTATTATTTAATGGAAATGAATGTTTAACAAATTTTGGAAATGTTTTAGTTGGTAAAGCTGTAAATACAAATGGTTTGTATGTCTTAGAATTGAATGACTATGCTTCAATCAATACCATTTCCAATAAAAGAACTCGATCTGAATCAAATCCTAAAATTCTATGGCATCATAGATTGGGTCATATAGGAGAGAGAAGATAAGTACAGCTTGGAAAAAGTGGGATCATAAACTCATTGGGTTCTGAACCCTATCCAACCTATGAATTAGATCTCCAAAGAAAGATGACCAAGTTTCCCTTTACAAATAAAGGAAAGCGAGCTAAAGAACTATTAGGATTCATACATACAGATGTATGTGGACCATTCAGTACTTTAGCCAGGAGAGGATTTGAATACTTCATTACCTTTACAGATGATACGTCACGATATGGGTATTTGTATTTAATGAAATACAAATCTAAATCCTTTGAAAAATTCAGGGAATTCAAGAATGAAGTAGAAAATCAAACTGGAAAGAGTATTAAATACTACAATCAGATCGTGGAGGTGAATACTTGAGTACAGAGTTTCAAGAGTTTTAAAAGAAAATATGATCATCTTACAATTAACTTCTCCCTATACTCCCCAGCTTAATGGAGTGTATGAAAGAAGAAATCATACCCTATTGGATATGGTGCGATCAATGGTAAGTTTTACAGACTTGTCAATGTCTTTGTGGGGGTATGTTCTCCAGGCCATTATGCACATCTTTAATAAGGTCCCGTCTAAAACTGTCCAAAAAACTCCGTATGAGATATGCTTATGAAATTGTTTTTGACACCATATTTGTTTGAATAACTGGATGTTTCAATTGATTGATACTACCATAGAGGTACATACATTGTATAGATCAAAAATGATTTATTGAATCTTCTAATTATGTTAGTTATAAATTACAGAATATACTAACATAATTTGGAAATTATACAATATAAATAGTATCCTAAGACTAAGTAAAATAATAAATTAGAAATTATTTGTGATAGTATTTAATTTAATGTTCAATTAATAATTAAAATAATTAATAATTAATAAATTAAGAATAGTATTTTCATATAAATATTACATGTGAATGTATACCTATTTAATCCAAGTATTATTAAATTGTAATGTTTTGTGAACTAGACAATTAATGTTGAACCAACGATCCTGTCGTTTTGCCTCTGTTTTAAAACCCGAACCGGACTAGCCTGTCCAACCTATTCGACCGGGAGCCAGCCTTTACTCTAGTCTGGGTTCACATAAAACCCAAGAATGTCATTAAATCCGCTTTGGACCGGCAATGGACTGGTGGAACAGTACAAAACCGCCAGTCCGACCGACTTGGGTCTTAAAACGGTTCGCTATTTTTGGGTATCTGATCCTAAAAAATTCATATTCCTAATTCCTAAACCAATTTGCAACACTGTTTCATTCTCCATTTCATTTGAATAAAAAAACCAAATTGCATCTTCCATTTTCATCTTCTATTCTTCTTCACTTACTCTAAAATCTACAGTGTAAAGAAGAAGAAATAAGGGAAAGGGAAGGAAGAAGAAAGAGAGGAGGAGACAAGAGAAAGAGTAGGGAAGAAGATTAGAAGAAAGAAAAGAGGAGATGAAGAGAAGGAGAAGAGGAGAGAAAAATTACGGTAGAGAGACGCGAATGTGTTAGAAGAAAGTGATGGGGAGAAAGAGAAAAAAAAGGAGAAAAAAGAAAGTGATGTGGAGTGTGCGGAGAGAGAAAAAAGGAGAAAGATGAAAGTGATGGGAAGAGAGAAATAATTAATAATAAAATCTGTAGGGTGCATTTGCTTTATTTTAAACTTACAGGGGCTTATAGATAAATTTTAGAGATATATTTGTTGATTTTCAAACTTATAACAATTAATAGAATTGTTTAAAGATGTGACTGCTATTTATCGATCAGACCGACCGGTCCAATCGGTTAGACCAATCAACCCGCAAACCAACCCCTTAACCGGGTCAACAAGCGATCCAGTTTTTAAAACAATGTGTTTTGCTTGAAAATTGGGTTACCATTTATTTAGGGTTAATATTAAATTGTAATGTTTTGTAAACCGGACAATTAATGTTGAACCAAGGGTCCGATCGCTTTACTTGAAAATTAGGTTACTATTTATTTAGGGTTTTCTTCATTTCCCTTTTCGTTGACATATATTTGCGCAAGTTTGTTTTTAAAATTGTATTTCAAGTATTGTTTTTTGTCGATAATATAGTGTTGTTTATAAAGTGTTATTGAAATTAATGTGATAGTATGTGCTGCGCGAGTATGTTTATAGAATTGTATTTCAAGTTTTGTTGTTTGTCAATAATATAACATTGCTTATAAAGTGTTATGCATACCAATTTACTCGCTCTAGGACAATTCAATTTTATTTATGTAAGCACAACATACAAACTAAAGAAAAAAATTCATATTCATATTCAAATATTCAATACCTCATTGACAATCGCACATTATCTATCGAAATCAATACATCATTGCAAATATTCAATAAATCATTGCAAATATGGTCAAGAGTGACAAAGAAATCAGAAATACCTGAAATTTGGTCAAAGCTTCATTCAGATAGGGCCATGTTTGAGAGTTGTCTGCCTGTACAGTCTTCCCATGAATCACCAAAATTTTTCTGATACTCATCTACCACTTGTCAGAAGAAGCATAAAACCTTCTGAACAACTATTCAGTTGATGATTTCTTCGCCACACACCCTGATCCCAAAGCAACTCTAAGATCTATCCGCAAAAATTGACATCAAATGAGATCCATTAATTACCAGTCACATCAATTAAATATACACAATAACCCAATAAACAAATTGAATAGAGCGAGAGAATAGCTAAGAGGTGGATAAATCTGTTATATTTAATAAATTCCATCATGTCATAATCACAATACCAGTTAAACCAAAAAAATGAAAATGGTATAAAAATGGCTTACTTGCCCATTGTATATTGTGACATTCACCCTTTTTGCAAGTAGCTCAGCCACCTGTAAGATAACAGTTAATTAATGTAAAATTTAGAATCATCTTATGAAAATAAAACGAAAACTCTGTATCACGAATGCACCCAAAATAATAAGGATGTGTTTGGCAACAATGCATTTTATATATGAGAAGCTAGTATGGAATGTTTGACTTCAAGATTAAACCAAATGAAAGGAGTTATAGTTGAGCTTTCAAACACGTTTGAGTGGTGACAAAGGAATCATACATTTCCAGACAGAATGATTCCTTCAAAGTATAAATTAAGTTATTTATGTCAATTAAATCATGAAAAATATGCCAATACTAAGTTTTTTTTTTTTTTTTAATTTCTAATGTACCTCATTAATCTTGGGTCTCATAAAATCACCTTGAAGCTGTGTGAATACATAATCCGATTGCCTTCCTCATTTGTCAAAAGTATAAACAAAATCTTGAATAAAATATCAAACCATTCAATTTGATTTTTTATTTGAAAAGATATAGAAGAAGACTTACGTCACATTTTCAGGAATAATATTGAACTTCTTTTTAATTTCACCGTTCATCAAGCCATCAAGCTCACCATCTCCATCAGGAGTAGTAGCAGGTTTCAAGTAACTCAGGTATCTTGAGTACCTTCTTATTGCAATTTTTTCTGATAAAGTATTGCAATTTTTTCTGATAAAGTACTTTCTTATTGCAAGAATCTCCAGATCAAAAGCATCAAGTTCAAACCTGTCTGGTACAATAATAGCATAATACAGTAAACTCAGTTTTCCCTTCCATGACTTACTTTTTTCACCAACCACAAAGTCATTAATCTTAATCAATACATCATTGCATGCATCAAACAGATATTCAACTTTTTTGGAGTATATCCTGACTAAACCCAGAAGAAAGTATGCCAGAACTCTATATGTCACAGCATCAAATTCATTTAACAAAATCTCCTCTGCAAACCACAAAAAATAATAATAATAATAATGGGGAAGAAGGTATAGTGGAACCAGAAATTTAAGTTACCAAAAAAAAATTGATAATAATCTAAACTTGCAAAAGTAAAAAAAAAAAAAAAAAAAATTGCACTGAAGATGTGAGCGAAATTCTCACTGATGTTAGAGAACACAATCCAGTAGTTTTGGCAGTCGCCATGTTCCAAAATACTTAATTCATTATGCCTTCAAAATTGTTCTGCTGTACTTCGAGGGGCATTTTACGTTTCCTGCATTTCTTAAAATTTATTACAGATTGACTTAATCAAGTGTCAATCAATTTATCTCACCCAAACCGCATTCTGAAGGTTATGACTCCAACACATAGCTTTCAAGTGCCTAAAGTGTTTAAGAACTCGAATATGTAGATTTTTACTGTCTTGAAAAAACGCTAAACCTTTGGTTTTACATATATCCACATCCATTCTGAATCAACCAAATAAGCAATTACTAAATGCAAAAGTTAGCAGTAAATCAAACCTCAGTGTGAAAATCTGTTAGTGATACCAGGTCCATACCCGAATCCAGTAAAAAATTATAAAAAAAACCCTGAAGCAAAACAATTCAGTGTATAAAAACACAATTCAGTTGTCATTAATTTCATTAACAAAACTGTACGAAAAAAAAATACAGTACCACGGAGCTGCTGCTAGCACTAATCACTTCTTCAAGTTCACTCCGTTAATTTGTGACATTGACAAATTGACCATCTTCAAGTTGCTGCTTAATTTTTTGACCCAGACAGTTTGCCAAAGCGTATCATATTTAAGTTTTATCATAGCAGAAAATTTATAGCCGCTTAATTATCTGCTTTTATTTTGTTTATACAGAATGTTAAATATGCGATGCAGACCTGTTTGATTTCTCCAAGCCATTGTTATCAAGCCGGGAGACATCCTTAAGCAGAGGACCCCAAGAAAGCTGCATATTTCAGTTAAATTTCCGTCCAGATTGAAAGTTAATACGAATTTTAATTAATAAAAAAATCAAACAAATTTACCACAAAATCCTCTGGAGAGATCCAACTATCTCCCAAGGTAACTCTATACATAAGAAAACATAAATGATTTTGGATCTACTTAACATGTTCTTTTAGTTTCTTCTAAGATGCAGCAAAGGTATCAAACTTTCTTAGTTTCAGATCAAACCAGGGTCAACCCCATCTCAAACCCGTCTTAAAACAACCATGGCAACCCGATTCGGTTAATCATTCAATAAACCCAAGTTACAGAACAATCAGCAAACAGTAAACAAAACAAACCCATTACATGCTTACAGGTAAGATGCAATTTGAGTATTGAATTTTTTCAGTTTTTCAGCAAAATCAAGCCAATCCCATCTCAAATCTAAGATCAATATCAACATTACTTGATCAATCATACGACAAACCCAATTCACAGAACAATCAACAAAGCATTTCCTATCATCAAAAACAAAAAAGAAAATAAATACTCAAATTTTGAACAAACCAAGTCAAACCCCCATCCCATTTCCACTAAAAAGGAAAACTCTGCTGTGTTTGCTTGGATGATACTCCGTTGGATGTTTCCAATGCTTGCGAACAAAGAAGAAATGAAGTTTTGGAGACTGGAAGCATAAAATTGTTCTGTTTTTCGAGTGATGGAGAGAGAGAGAGGAGAGGCGGCTGTTCGTTGGTGAGTGGTGGTGGTACTGAGTGAAGTTGAATCAAATTAGAGAGATGGTCGTGTAATGAAGACATGAAGAGAGAAAGAAGATGAAGAGGATGAAAATGAAATGGAAACGTATTGAGATTAATTTGAAAGTGAAGGGCTGACGGTTCGCAGAATGTGAAGAGACTTAATTCGTAGAGTTTTAATTAGAACTTCGGATGTCCCAATTTGATTAGACATTGGATGCCCCAATATTACATGATGTCATGTGTCTATATATCCCAATTACATGATGCTATATCTATTAATATTCCACCATATCAAAATAAAAGAATTACTTTTGAATGTTCTAATTACATGATGCCACGTTGTCTAACACTAATCAAGTTTTTATTTAGACTTTTGATGATCCAATTACATGATGTCACGTAGGGTGTTCAAAAAAACCGATTGGAATCGAAACCGACGGATATCCGAGGTTTGGTTTCGGTTTCTACCCAGAACTGACCGTAAACGAGTAAGTTATGGTTCCAAATTTTTAGAACCGTTACTGTGCAGTTCCGATTTCGGTTTCTATAGTTAGGAACCAAAACTGAAACCAAGAACCGAGACTAATATAAAATAAAATTAAAGATTAGGGGGGTTAATAAAAACTTTTGTAAAAAAAGTAATGTGAATACATTTATATTTATATTTCATAACATTTAAAGTAAGTTTGTTTAACTTTTGAGAATCTACCTTTACAAAATAATGGAGTTTGTAATTTTGAATTTATAATTTGTAATTTATAATTTTATTTTTGTTAACAAGTGCCAGGTGGGGCGTATTTGTAAGTTTTTAAGGGTTTTTTTTGCCATTTTAAAAACTTTTGGGGGGTCATGAATTTTACAGGATATCCAGAATCGAAACTGGAACCGTTGTTACAGGTTCTAGTTCTGGGTACATAGGAACCGGAACCGGAACCGTCGGTTCCAATTCTGGTTCCAAATTTCAAGGAACCGTCGGTTCCGATTCCAATTTCTTAAAAAAATGTAAGGTACCCGGAATCAAACACCCCTAAATTGTCATGTGTCCAACAACCTTTCTATTGTCAAAATAAAGGAATTACATACAACGTATAAAACCTCTTAAATTCACATAAATTTATCTCTATATAAATAACAAATATTTATAACAAATAACAACCAATAAGGTTATTAATATCTATCATTAATAATAAACAATATCAAACATCAATTATATGACGCCGCATATATCATCAAATCCAACTTATTAATATATGCCACATAAGATTGAGTAAAATAATAAATTAAAAAATATTTGTTATAGTCTTTGATTTAATGTTCAATTAATAATTAAAAGTAATAAATAATAAAGAAATTATGAATTGTAGTTTGATATAAATATTTATTGTCCATGTATACCTATTTAATCCAAATAAGTAATATTAAATTGTAATGTTTTTTGAATTGGACAATAAAGAAAGTAAGAATAATAATTTAAAATAAATATTACATATCCATGTATGCCAATTTATTGCAAGTAAATAATATTAATTTGTATTATTTTTTGAACTGGACAATTAATGTTAAACCAAGTGTTTTGAAAATTTCGTTATCATTTATTTAGCGTTAATATTACTATTTAATTAGGTTTTTTTTACATTTTGCTTTCATCACAGTTTGCTTAGTGTTGTTCTATTGCCGCCACTTCGTTTAATTACGACTGTAGTGTTTGTGTTTGGGCTTCTTAAACTGTCTTTTATAAAGGTATAATACAGAAATGTGTAAAGGTGCAGAATTCCTCCTCTACAGAGCATGGAATAAAAAAAATATTATTAAGCGTTAATGCACTGATGATAGCACAATCTAAATGTCACAAAGCAAGAGAAAAGTTAATAGTTTGACCAAACGAAGAGTCTCGTCTCATAAATTCAAGATGATATTTTTTCTTTCCAATTATACTTCACCATGGACATACTTAGTCTTCAGTATCATCAGGCCGATCAACCAGTGGTGGCAATTGAAGCTCTGCACTAATAAAAGTAGGCATGAAGAGTTTCTTTTTCTTTTCATTTTGTCCGAAGATATTACCATTCCTCGTCCAAAATATCTGTAAGCATACCCTGGCTTATTTCTGCCATACTTGCTCTGTAGATTGATCAATTACTTTTCAAACTAGAGAGATAGTTGACTGCAGTATACGGCAGACTAATTAGTTCAGGGTTAAATAAGATTAAGACCACATACAATCTGACCATCAGCATCACTAATAGCAGCAAATTATCACCCTTACAATAAGGACATAAACCTAAACGGAAATGGCAAGCCACATAATATCCTATTAGATGATATCGGGAGAAATGCATGCAAATAGTGAAATTCATAAATTGTAGATTAATTTAATTAATGATGTAAACTCATTAAAAAAAAAAAAGTTGCGCATGACAATAATTTAATCACAAACGACAAAAAGAGAAAGGGTTAAGGTTTCAGAAGTATCAACACTTGCCTTGGAATACCCAAATTTATACAACTTTGAGAAAGATAGGTGGTAGGAATAGCAAATTCCCGGGCATGACATAAACATTGCAATTCTTGAAAAAATAAAATAGAAGGTCAAGCAATTCTAACTTAAATTTTTGGCTTAGATTTGTAACATCAATTACCAGCCATTATTCTAATGCAAGGTAGTTACTAATGTTCTTGTTCCAACACCTCAACTTCTAACCAAAAATCCAATACGGATAAAATTAAACAAATTTAGCCATTGACTGGGCTGCAATACGGATAAAATTAAACAAATTTAGCCATTGACTGGGCTGTATATGTCATATTTTTTTTTTTTTCCACCCAAAAGGAGTTAACAAATAGAAAAAATGCCCCAAAGGAACATTAAAGTATCAAAAGGCATCAGCACCATGAATCAAAAACTTTATATAACAGGATGTGAGAGAGAGGGAAAAAGAAAACCAGATTACCATCAGTTAATTTAGCTTCTGTAACCTGCAACCCTGACACTACTGATAGAACTGCATATAAAAAGCATGTCATATATTAAACCCCACATATCTGCGGAAGCTAAAGAAGAGAAGGAATACCAAGTTAAAGATCCAAATTAAAAATAAACTATAAAATTACACCTTATTAAAAAAAAAAAAAAAAAAAAAAAAAAGGGCACTCGAAGAAGCCTTGACTGCCTAAGATTGTGGAATGCTACCTTCCCTCCCCTTCCCATCTGCGCTTCCACCCACCTAACCAACAAAATAAACAAATGAATTACAATCCACAAAAGCAATCAAGCTGTTCACATCCATCGGTTCAAAATAACTTCCAACAAAACCCTCGCTCTCCACCCCCGCTCCCCCACTATATACAAATTCCTATACCTAAAAAAACCTTTAGTTTTGATTCTGTTTGCAAGTTTAACACTCTTGTTCTCTCTCTAAAGAATAAGGCATGGGTTATGTCCCAAGCCCATGATTCATTCATCATACGAAATCCTGAAGCAGCATCACATGAAAGTTTATTAAATTAAACCTATCCAGTCGGATAAAATCTCCAATTTGAGTTTTGTCTTTTGAGCATAAGTCAGCCAAAAACAAAACAACTCAAATAAACTGGTAAGTTACCTGATCAAGGGCCAAATTACTTCTTTTTTCTTTGCACCTTCTTCGCTCTCATACAGACCCGAATCAACCAAAAACTTCCAACATACAAACAAAATTTCAAAATCCAGCATAAATAAATTGAAACGAAGTTTATTACAAAGAAATATATACACATAAAAAAAAAAAAAATTACCTTCTCAAATCCCTATTACGCTGAAAATTAGCCTCACCTATTACCTACATTTAAAACATCAAATAAAAACTTAAAATATTTATATTCAATCAAAACCATCACCCTTTGCAGACTTAGTCATACATCACAAATGAAAAACTAATCATTTCACATAATAAAACCTTAACAATTAATTAAGCTTACCTTCATGAGAATGATGTATAGAAGCCCTGCCCCGGCTTTTGTATCAGAAACCCCAACTGGATGACTGTAATGAAATGACGATTCCATTAAAACTGAAACTTCTAAATAAATAAAAACAAAGTTTAAAAGGAAAGACAGAGCGAAAGAAAAATTTACCTCAATTGCCATCTCAAGGGCCTAGTACAATTATTCGTCAAAATCCCAACTCCTCATGGCTTCGGACAAACGATAGACTCCCTCTGATCAAAGAGGTGGCCGGCTGTCGGTATTTAATGATATGTAAAAATGTTTTTGTTAATTTTTAATATTTTATTATAAGGGTGTTTAATAAATAAACAAACATAAAAGAATATTTTTGATAATTTTCAAATCCTAAATTAAAATAATCATCAGATTTTACTTTTTTTTTTAAATATTATTTTAAAAAGTGTAAAAATAATGAGCTAGTGCACCCTAAATCTTTGCGGTCTAATCCAATCACTGCTAACTTGTCTAGTCTTGTCACTATTGCAAGCCTTTTAATCTGACTTCATCCTTTTATATCCGACAAGATTTCAAGCGTCGTCTAACACTGTATTTAATGGGACATGATTGATTTGTCTTTCTGTATCCCAAAGCATTAACGGACGCAACTGATTTGGGGATATAGAAGCCATACTGTAGCGCTTTTTCCCTTATATAAATGTTGGCGCTTTCTAGTTTGGATAATCACTTTATGCTTTGTTTTGAAATCGTAGAATGGCTGCCTGTCTTCCAAACTTCGGGTTTTCCTTTTGTTCTTCTTCCCTACTCTAAAATTTTCATATGTCGGCAATTATCATGGCGAGAATGCTGACTCTTCGGATAATGATGTCCCTAAGATGACGTCAATACCATCAAGAGATGCTCGGACTAGTTCATTCTGCTATGGTACCGTTTGTGGCGGTGGAGCTGGTCCTTCGTATGTGCATCGAGGGCGAGAAGACACCAGACAAGCTTTGTCTCCTTATTATGTCTCTTACACCCTCAGAAGATGGAGGCAGCGATGCCGGTGGTTAGCGGAGGGACTCTTTCCTCTAAGAGGAGGAGGAGAATGGTTTCCCGTGTGCTAGTGATCACTGAGCCCGGGTTATGTCCCGTGTGAATGCGCGGGCGGTGATCAAGGAGGGAGAAGCTCGGGAGGTCGATGTTGTTACGCAAGTGATCTGTGTGCTTTCGGAGCATTGGCATTGTTACGCAAGTGATCGATGCGCTTCCGAA